AGTATGCCTTTAACAGCTGAGGAGATGTCTCCCTTTAACAGCTGAGGAGAAGTCTCTCTTTAACAGCTGAGGAGGTCTCCTTTTAACAGCTGAGGAGGTCTCCCTTTAACAGAGGAGAAGTCTGCCTTCAACAGCGGAGGAGAAGTCTCCCTTTAGCAGGGGAGAAGGAGGCTGTCTTTTACAACGGAGGAGGAATCCTCCTTTAACAGTGGAGGAGATGCCTCTCTTTAACAGCGGAGGAGAGGTCAGCCTTGAACAGCGTAGGAAATATCTCCCTTTACAGCGGAGGAGCATTCTCCCTTCAACAGCGGAGCAGAAGTCTCCCACAAACAGCGGAGAAGTCTCTCTTTAACAGAGGAGGAAAAATCGCCCTTCAACAGCGGAGAAGAAGTCTCCCACAAACAGCTGCGCAGAAGTCTCCCACAAACGGCGGAGAAGTCTCTCTTTAACAGAGGAGGAGTAATCTCCCTTCAACAGCGGAGAAGAAGTCTGCCTTAAATAGCAGAGCAGATGTGACGCACATGGGTAAAGTGGATATGATTCTGGCAAAGCAAGGATTGTGATAAACGTTTGGGATTCGAACCCATGACCAGAGGATCCTGACAGCTAAGTTTTATTTGTGTGTTGTTTTATGCCACACTATTACAGCTACATGACAACTGTTTGTAAATAATCCAGTCTGGACCAGTGATTGACATCATGAACATCGAATCGCGCAACTGAGATACCAAATCACCAAGCCACCTGCTCCATTTGGTCGTCGCCTTATCCGGAAGCCCCTCGGATTCTGGCAACCATGCCTCATCATAACATAATGGTATGTGCCAAGATAACTAAAAAAAATATACTTATCATTTGTATTTGGATTAGGTGTAACATGAATCAAAATGTTATCAATTCTGTCTCTAACGTTCAAGACTTCTCATGCGGTTGATGTATTGACGTTTTCATTACAGCCAGAAATAAACATCTGGTTCTGAGAGTTTGTGTTAATTCCAGCATCTGACGTCAGCAAGGCATTAAATTATGTATCTTCACCTTTAATGTTAACCATGTCGATGTTATTAAACAGAGAGGTGAACAGCTTGTACGTCATCAAGGATACCGTGTAGGGGCATTATGGGTATTGTATTATTTACACAGATCTATTCTCACTCACATCGTCATAAATTTCGAAACGGACAATCTGGATATACTTTAAAGAGTATTTAACATCGAATATGGAATAAAACTGTACTTTTTACTTTATCTGAGTTTAAATAAACAACGTTTTTCATTGAAAGAAATATATAACATTGATTAAATGAATTGTTCTTGAAACTTTTGTATGCGGAAAAAAGCATCGCATGTTTTAGTCTATTTCGAAATTGATATTTTATATTGAAGTGTGTCTGCGTAAATCGAAAATGAATCGTCATTTTGTGAACACATCACAAATAAAAATGGTTACACCCATTCGATATTCACAAGAAAACTCTGTTTAAAGTTGCGTCCATTGTACAATTCCGACAACACCACGAGATTGTGTTTAAGAATCAGTACAATGATAATTACAGGTGTTCGTAAAAAGGAGAGCGTATACTGCCCCACCTGTTGTACTTGTCACAAATACATTCAAAGGTAAGTCAATTGTTCACCTAAAAACACATAAACATGTGGTACACAAACACAGAATTATTTCATTCCCAAGGTAGGACGAATATGACTGGATTCAATGTAGCTTACGGCATACGTATCGTACGATGTCATCGCTGAAATGGCGCTGCATGAGGGGAATACGTACATGTGGAGATACAAGAAGACTAACATATAGAAACACGTATGTTTCCTTAAAAATGAACGTGGTGTATTATATTGAAAAGGTTAAATGCCAGTAATCATATTTTATGTTAAGTGTGAATCTGGAGTCTCCGATAAGGGCATGCTTATCTATGTTTGAAACGTTTAGATAAGAATACAGCTTTCCATTTTCAAAAGATTTACAACGACAATTTAGACATGTATAATCTATCAGATCATTTATTAAAACACAAACGCATGCCTCAAATATATATATTTATATAAAGAGCTTTTCACACGCACAAATCCGATCAATTATATAACAGATCTGTGTCAAATGACCTCTATCACGACAATTAAAGCACGCTGATAAGTCAATACATGTTTCCCTCTAATCTAATCTTCTCTCACAGGTGCCCCCTGTCAATCAACGATAACAACTTTAGCTTCGCTTGAAATATTTGAGAGCGGCGTGAATTTGAAAAGCAGCTGTGTCGAAGGCTGGACGTTTCTGCCTCTTAAATGAGTGGGTGAGTGAGTATGGTTTAACGCCGCTTTTAGCAATATTCCTGCAATATCATGCCGAAGGACACAAGAAATGGGCGACACACATTGTGCCCATCTTAAATGTACCCCTCTTAAATGAAACACGAAATTGACACTGATACATGCCAGGCAATGCTGTTAGAACAATAGGTTTGTGAACTGACATCACTTTGGTATGCATTCCACGTTAATGTGGAGCTCTCAGTTAGCCAGAGGGGTCACGGGTGGCCAAGTCGTCTAAGGCGCCGCGATTCGCTTTGCAGAGTTGCGTCCTTTGGGTTCGAATCCCAGTCCGACGCGATTATGTTTCTAGGTTTGTCAGCACCATATCCGTGCACGTGGGTTACACCGAAGTGGTAAACGTCTTAGACCTGCATTACTTCGGGCTCTCCTCCCACATTAAGCTGACACACCGCGATATAACTGGAATACTGTTAAAAGCGACGTTAAACCCAACTCACTCACTCACTTACTCAGCCAGAAAATCGTCGAATGTTGACGTCATTCTAAATATGCCCCATCTAGAAGTAAATTTTAGGTACTTACAACTATTCTTCATGTTAAACATGATCCATCCTGTATCATCCTACATGTATACGTCATTCTAAATATGCCCCATCTAGTAGTAAAGTTTAGATACTTAAAACTATTCTTCATGTTAAACATAATCCATCCAGTATCATCCTACATGTATACATCATTCTAAATATGTCCCACCTAGTAGTAAATTTTAGATACTTACAACTATTCTTCATGTTAAACATGATCCATCCTGTATCTTCCTACATGTATACGTCATTCTAAATATGCCCCATCTGGTAGTAAATTTTAAATACTTACAACTATTCTTCATGTTAAACATGATCCATCCTGTATCTTCCTACATGTATACGTCATTCTAAATATGCCCCATCTGGTAGTAAATTTTAGATACTTACAACTATTCTTCATGTTTAACATGATCCATCCTGTATCTTCCTACATGTATACGTCATTCTAAATATGCCCCATCTGGTAGTAAATTTTAAATACTTACAACTATTCTTCATGTTTAACATGATCCATCCTGTATCTTCCTACATGTATACGTCATTCTAAATATGCCCCATCTGGTAGTAAATTTTAGATACTTACAACTATTCTTCATGTTTAACATGATCCATCCTGTATCTTCCTACATGTATACGTCATTCTAAATATGCCCCATCCAGTAGTAAATTTTAGATACTTACAACTATTCTTCATGTTAAACATGATCCATCCTGTATCTTCCTACATGTATACGTCATTCTAAATATGCCCCATCCAGTAGTAAATTTTAGATACTTACAACTATTCTTCATGTTTAACATGATCCATCCTGTATCTTCCTACATGTATACGTCATTCTAAATATGCCCCATCTGGTAGTAAATTTTAGATACTTACAACTATTCTTCATGTTTAACATGATCCATCCTGTATCTTCCTACATGTATACGTCATTCTAAATATGCCCCATCTGGTAGTAAATTTTAAATACTTACAACTATTCTTCATGTTTAACATGATCCATCCTGTATCTTCCTACATGTATACGTCATTCTAAATATGCCCCATCTGGTAGTAAATTTTAGATACTTACAACTATTCTTCATGTTTAACATGATCCATCCTGTATCTTCCTACATGTATACGTCATTCTAAATATGCCCCATCTGGTAGTAAATTTTAGATACTTACAACTATTCTTCATGTTTAACATGATCCATCCTGTATCTTCCTACATGTATACGTCATTCTAAATATGCCCCATCTGGTAGTAAATTTTAGATACTTACAACTATTCTTCATGTTTAACATGATCCATCCTGTATCTTCCTACATGTATACGTCATTCTAAATATGCCCCGTCTGGTAGTAAATTTTAAATACTTACAACTATTCTTCATGTTAAACATGATCCATCCTGTATCTTCCTACATGTATACGTCATTCTAAATATGCCCCATCTGGTAGTAAATTTTAAATACTTACAACTATTCTTCATGTTAAACATAATCCATCCTGTATCTTCCTACATGTATACGTCATTCTAAATATGCCCCATCCAGTAGTAAATTTTAGATACTTACAACTATTCTTCATGTTTAACATGATCCATCCTGTATCTTCCTACATGTATACGTCATTCTAAATATGCCCCATCTGGTAGTAAATTTTAAATACTTACAACTATTCTTCATGTTAAACATGATCCATCCTGTATCTTCCTACATGTATACGTCATTCTAAATATGCCCCATCTGGTAGTAAATTTTAAATACTTACAACTATTCTTCATGTTAAACATGATCCATCCTGTATCTTCCTACATGTATACGTCATTCTAAATATGCCCCATCTGGTAGTAAATTTTAAATACTTACAACTATTCTTCGTGTTAAACATGATCCATCCAGCATCTTCCTTCATGTATACGTCATTCTAAATATGCCCCATCTGGTAGTAAATTTTAAATACTTACAACTATTCTTCATGTTTAACATGATCCATCCTGTATGTTCCTTCATGTATACGTCATTCTACCTATATTCACACACTTATGTTCATGTGTTATGGGCCTGTAGTGAATGAATACTTCTGTCCGTCAGTCATTTTTCAAAACTAGAAACAAATGAAAAGGGCTACGCTACCTTGTCCGATGGATTCCTCGACAACACGCAGGGCATTCTGGGTTGTCCATGATTTCATGTTGTGTGTTACAGGTGACTGTGTAGAACCATTGGTGACCTTCGTTGCCCTCTGGCGGCTGGAAGATTTCTACTTCCGTGTCATTGATATCACGTGCTGACCTGAGCAGCCGCCATTCAGTCCTAGACGGACACACGGGTTCTGATAGGGCATTCTGGAAGGTACGTTTCTGAAACATGGTTGAATTAGCATTAGATGAACAAAGGCTTCACTCTAAGTTGTTTGGAAGGATTATAGGCAGCTTCGGGGTCGCACTGAAGAGGATACCTTGAACATCAATTCAAATATCGAATAATAGTAATCGAGCTAAGTGAACCTGATGATATCACGAGAAGCGATCCTAGCCGAAACAGCCAGTCACACTCAATAACAGTGGATTCCTGTGACAAGCACGGGGTGGTGATTACTTATCTGCCCGACCATTCCCAGTCGTGGCGTTTCTAAAAATTGGTTTACTTATACCAGCATTTCTCTGATCATAAATACTGTGAAGGTGAATCAACATCTGAAAGACATACATGTGTTTGGTACCAGCGCATGTGGACTTAAGTTCACCACGCAAACATTGAACATGCTATAGATTATCCTGCAAAGAACGATGAGACAAATTGAACTTACTAAAGATAACCTTTTGAAGAACCGAAGAACAAATTTGAAATGCTATTATTACTTTTTCTTTCCCCATTACCAAAAAGTAGTTTTTACAAATATATCCGTACACCAAAAAAGGGACCTTACTCCCCATGGGTCGGAATGAGTGAGAGAGTGAACACACGGAACTACTGACACTCCTTCTGATAAAACTAAGATAGTTTGTGGTTTTCCGCCACACAATATGCCAATGGTATGACGGCTGCCTGTAAACAATCGAGTGTGGAAGAGACAAACCAGTGATTGAAATCACGATCATTACGTCTGAGTAAGGTAACACGCAAACCAAGTCGCCTTATACGACCAGCATAGGTTGCTAGGGCTTAGGGGGCACGGGTGACCCAGTCGTGTAGGGCGCCGCAACTTGCTGTGCAGAGTAGCGTCCCTTGGGCACGTCAAAAGCTTACGATCGTGGGTTCTAATCCAGGTTCACCCCGATTATGTTTCTAGGTCTGTCTGCACCATACCCGTGCTAAAAGTCTGAAACCCGCATCACTTCCGGCGTTCCTCTCGCATTAAGATCACACGCCGAGATACAACTGTTCAAAGAGGCGTTAAACCAATCCACTCATACTGCAAGGGGCAGATGACCTATATTTCGACGGAGGTCATAAACAAGGGCCAATCACAATGAGTAAGGCGGGTCCCTGGGGCTCAATATATTGTAACCATTGTAATAAAGTAAACGGCAGTTGGACAATACCCCGATGCCATCAATACATGGCACTGCGCCCGGTAACGGTATCAGAGGGCCAACATTAAAAGTGCCCGGACGGTGCTCCTGCCATGAGAACGTTATGTCATTTGTGTATAGTTATACAGAAATTTCAAAACATAATCGCCCAAATACCACAGTGAGTGAGTGAGTTTTTTACGCCGCTTTTAGCAATATTCCAGCAATTTCACGTAGGGGGACACCTGAAATGGGCTTCACACATTGTACCCATGTCGGGAATCGAACCCGGGTGTTCCACGTAACGAGCTAACGCTTTAACCTCAAGGCTACCCGACCGCCCCCCTTCCCCAACTTCTACAGGATGAACGAAAACCGGATATATCACACACTTGATAATGGATTATTGATATTAGTATCTAATGTTGCAGTTTAATTTAGATTAATCTGAAACTGACATTTTGTTGTCAATGTATTCTCGTACTCATACCAACCGCTTGACATTTATCAATTGGTACTATCTCATCCATATATAGACTTTGTCTTCGTTCAGGAAGAAACAATCACCAAGGATACGTGACACTTAATGAGGTACTTGCAACTTTTAATATTAAAATTACGGCGCAGAACAAAGTCCACTTTACATTAGTCAGTGAAGCACCATCATAATTTGATATTGGATATTAATTGTCTAAGACACTACCGGTAATGAGAACATATATTGGTGGATTTTATAGATTTTTCTAAGTATGAATATAGCATTTAGAATATCGTGAACAACATGTGGCAGTAATAATACTAACAGTTTTCACTATTTGTAGATTGGATATATGTAGAGAACTGTTCCAACCTTTGTGATATATATGCTTGATTAATATTATTGTAAATCGTTACATGAACCTGATCTTTTGAGAATCTCCTTATTGATGGGGTGGGTGGGTGGGGGTGGGGTTGGGTGGGTGGGTGGATGTAGACCATCCATCCATCCATCCATCCATCCGAGAATACTTTTAAATAAGCGCCGGACATTGTAATTTGGCAGGTCTTTAAACCGTCTTTATTTTCGAGGCATGCTCTTTATTTTGCAGAAAGACGTTTGCAACAGGCTTTCTTATAGATCTAGTTCAACTGTGCTTGATGGCACACAAGAAAAACATCAAAACTAAAATATTGGGATTAAGAACTAATTCCCTTCAGCCTCTCCTTTGACGGTAAACATGAAACGGACTGACAGGGCTGTCAAAGTTTTAGTTTAGTTGAAATAAATCTTATTCAATGCGTATGGAACAGGTTGAGGGTTAGGGTTAGGTTAGGTTAGGTTAGAGTTTGGGCTAGGGCTAGGTCTAGGGCAGGGGCAAGGGCAAGGGCAAGGGCAAGGGCAAGGGCAAGGGCTAGGGCTAGGGCAAGGGCAAGGGCAAGGGCAAGGGCTAGGGCTAGGGCAAGGGCAAGGGCAAGGGCAAAGGCTAGGGCTAGGTCTAGGGCAAGGGCAAGGGCAAGGGCAAGGGCTAGGGCTAGGGCAAGGGCAAGGGCAAGGGTTAGGGCAAGGGCGAGGTCTAGGGCAAGGGCAAGGGCTAGGGCAAGGGCAAGGGCTAGGGCTAGGGCAAGGGCTAGGGCAAGGGCAAGGTCTAGGGCAAGGGCAAGGGCTAGGGCAAGGGCAAGGGCAAGGGCAAGGGCAAGGGTTAGGGTTAGGGTTAAGGTTAGGGCTCAGGCTGGCTAGAGCTAGGGCTAGGGTTAGGTTCAGGTTTAGGGTTGTAGCTTGACCGGGCGATATTTTTTGCGTTTCTTGCACCCAGCGTTTAGTTTAGTTGAAATATATTTTATACAATGCTACCTGGATCAGGTACAAAATGACAACTAAAACAACAAAACTCCCTGAAATGTATTTACAACAACAAATTACAGTAGAGTCTTTCAACAAGCACGGGGTGTTTAGTTATTTCTTAAGGTCTGTGGGGCGTTGGGGGAGCCAAGTAGTTAAAGTGTTCGCTCATCACGCAGGTTCGATTCCCCACAAGGGTACAATGTGTGAAGTCCCCGCGTCGTGTCCTTGTTGGAATATCGGTAAATACTCGCTCGCTCTGAAGGTTCCTATCCCGGGCGTTTATTCAAGAAATTCCGCTATACACTACGTCAAGACGCGTAAATACTGTCAGTATGCGAGATATGTTAAACGTCAATTGGGTGATAAATGTCAGGTGGTTACAGTGTTAATGCCGTCAGTTAAACGTTATTAGCGTGATCATTGATACAGATGCTGCTGGAAATACACTTAATTCAGTCGTGGTGTTCGTGAACGTCACAGGCTAAGTCAATAAGAGGTTTTGAAATAAATATTGAAGTGTAATGGGTTAAGCGCCGCTTAAACAGCATTTCGGTTACATCATAGCGTATCACCTTAACGTTGGGGGGGGGGGGGGGGGGGGGGGGAAATCCCATTGTGACGCAGGACACAGACGTTTACAACTTTGGGGAAATTACGAACGCTAGTATTGCACTGACAAACAAGGTTTGTTTCGTTCGCAACAACTACTATTTTCTCGCTGCACAGTACAAAATGTGTTACACGCGAGCACATGAAGCATGATTTAGGCAAGCTTTTAACGCTTTAAGAATATTTTGAACTAACATCAAACATCAAGGGGGCCTTATTCGTTATAATATGTATGTTCGATACACAATAAAAAGTTCGATATTCTATTTACTTTCAACGGTGCTTTTCAACGGGATAACGACATTATTTATTTATACTAGCGTACTTATGAGTATTACCTTTGTGTGACGAATATATTCTGAGGTATTTAATAAAGCAAAAACTGTACGAGTTGATGGTAGTTGCCTGCATGAACGAGGTTGTCGGGATACTGTCTGGGTAGTTAGTATACAGATAATACATTGAGCTGAACACATTAAACAACAGGAACCTTGATTGAAAACCGTTCTTGCTGTGGACATTTTAGGACGATCTGTTAGTGAGACGTAGTACTTTAACTTCCTTTCTTTGGACGCGAATAGCTGCATAATTGCTTATCTGCCGTTAAGAACTCTCTTGTGGAATTAAAGCGACTTTTCCATCATCATAAAAATCTCTTCCAATATCAGAGTCGATTGTACGATGCCGATATATCATAAGCATACCTTTATGAATAACCATCAAATAGTGATGATACCTAGTGTTCGCAAAAAAGTGAGCGCATCTGATTCATATGCATAAAGTTGAGTGAGTATGGTTTTACGCCGCTTTTAGCAATATTCCAGCAATATCACGGCGGGGGACACCAGAAATGGGCTTCACACATTGTACCCATGTCGGGAATCGAACCCGGGTCTTCGGCGTGACGAGCGAACGCTTTAACCACTAGGCTACCCGACCGCCCCCATATGCATAAAGAACACCTTTACCAATGTGCCTGGTGCCAATGTGTATCGCGGATCAGGGTTCACTTGAATCAGTGATTTGGTGGTACATGTGCTGGGTCCAGCAATATATTTATCTTTGTACGGATTTTAAGAAGATTTGGAATTCAGTAGAAAAAAGGGAATGGGCATGTATTTCGGTTTTAGAGTCGAAAGTTGCTAATACTGACGCATGGTTTTGGCAGATTTCCTACTCAGTTAACATACTCGCCCGATACAAGGATGTAGTATTGTTTTATACACCAAGTGCCTTCGTGGGTCTTTAGTTCCAATTTGTAATAACGTGGGTAGTGAGAAGGAACAAGGAGAGTTTATTACAAGTAAATCTGTTAGCTCGAATGCCGTAATATGATGGAACGTAATATAAATATCGACTCCGCTTGTCTCGAACTACTTATAAATCGACATATACTCCCCCGTTCTTAGAGTCGAGGGGGTTTCCCTGTATGTAATAACTACACATAGTAGTGAGTGAGTATAGTGTTACGTAGCTTTACGCAATAGTCCCGCAATACCGGGGTGATCATATGCTTTGACCAATCAGGTAACCCACCGCCCCCCACTGATGGAGACCCGAGCTGTCAGATATATATAAACCATAATATCAGAATGTACCAACCTGCGGTATATATTTATTTTTCTGTGGTATTTGTGGTTTCCTGGATCCAACCTTTAGCCTTCTGTCCATAAGTGCAGGGTGGTTTTTAAGGAAGGCATACAAGCCCTTAAGGCGGTCTTTGAGGTACTGTGCCTGCTCCATACTTAGTCGATCCATATGGGGCTCTGTTGTCATCTGCCGTAACAGCTCGTCCGTGAACGCTGCAGCCACACAAACGCAGGTGCATCAGCAACGTCCACTACGATTCGTATTTGTTACAATCAATGATGTAGTGAATGTTGTTTAACGCCGCAGTCAGCAATATTCCAGCTGTATCACACCGGCATGTAAATACTGGAATCTGAAAGCATGAGGAACGCCCCACACTATCGGGGCAAGATGGCACACGATGAGCCATGTCAGCCAGCTTGTCCACCCGATCCTCTTTAGTCTTTTATGACAAGCGGGATACTGGGAGTCTAAACTTCCCCGGGGTCCACATACCGTTCAATTGTCAAGTCGCTCTCTCTCTCTCTCTCTCTCTCTCTCTCTCTCTCTCTCTCTCTCTCTCTGTGTGTGTGTGTCTCTCTGTCTCTCTCTCTCTCTCTCCTCAACACCCCCCACCCCCACCCACCCCACCCACTTTCTCCCACGTTGTAGGGGACCTCCGTGTTATAACGATATACCTACCTTCTATGAGTAATGGAGCGGCCCCGTTATCAAATTGATATTGTTCTGCAAAGTCTGCTGAAAGAATAAGCGTTCAATGTAAACAATAGATTCAAAAACATGACTTCAGTTGTTAAACTGACGAGTCCATAAAAAAGGATTGCTCCGAAAGATCAGTGAGTAAGTGAATATTGTTTCATATCGCAATCAGCGATGTTCCAGCCATATCACGACAGCCCGTAAACAATGGAGTCTGGGCCAGACAAACCAGTGACTGAAAGCATGACCAACTGTCACAAAACGAAACGCATAGAGGAGGTTTACGTCCCATTCTTGAATAGCCGTTTACGAGCTTTGTTTCATTATACAGTTTTCGACAATGGTCGAATGATTATTATACGTTAAGAAAAGAAGAAAAGTATACAAACAACGAAATGTCGGTTTATTAAGTTTTCGGGTATGAGTACTCGGATATAAATAGCTGACAACTTTAAAGTTGCCACTAGGATCAACTTACATCGGCTCATGTCCTCTTGGTTTATTCCCCAGTTTATACTATTACATTCTGAAAGGAAGAGCAAAACTGTCAGTGATGAAGTAGAAGAAGAAGAAGAAGAAGTAGAAGAAGAAGAAGAAGGAGAAGAAGAAGGGGGAGAAGAAGAAGGAGGAGGAGAAGAAGAAGAAGGAGGAGGAGAAGAAGGAGGAGAAGAAGAAGAAGGAGAAGAAGAAGAAGGAGGAGAAGAAGAAGGAGGAGGAGGAGAAGAAGGAGGAGAAGAAGAAGAAGGAGAAGAAGAAGGAGGAGAAGAAGGAGGGGGAGAAGAAGAAGAAGGAGGAGGAGAAGAAGGAGGGGAGAAGAAGAAGAAGAAGGAGGAGGAGAAGCATTTTATTTGCATGAAGACCATACACAAAGACAAAATCATATAATAAACAGAGGTCGTAAATATAATAATGTCACAGCATTACAAAACATGATTTTTAAAAGCATAACCCAAGTAGTGTAATAATGTTTCATTGCTATTACACATAACCGGTGTAATTTGTGAATCTATATCCTTATTGCAAGCTGGACATTTTTTAAGTGATTTCTCTATGTTTAAATATCTACCGTTTTTGTTTTTCAGCTCTAAATTTAACATTAATGTTACTAAACTTTATATCAGATAAAATTGAACGATGTTCCTCGGGTGCCAACAGTATCCCGAAAGGGATCTACGCATTTAGAAAGTTTTACAACCACATAAAAACAATCTCCTTTTGTGCATTCCACTCAGGATCACTCGGCTTTTCCCGATAACTAGATAAAACATCGGCAACATTCGTGACCAAATCGTGACATTCCGAGGTAAGTGTTGTAGGTTAGGGAAAGATGAAAGTGATGACGAATGACCTTGGAAACAAAAGCGACTAAGCCCTTTGTGATTAGCAATATTGGAACGAGATTCACTCGTTTCACGAGTAACATTTCTCAACACAAACCTCCGTCAAAATCGTACATAAATATTACACGTTTCTAACCGCATAGCCAATTTCTATTAGTGAGTTATATCGCGGCGTGTCAGCTTAATGTGGGAGGAAAGCCCAGAGTGATCCAGGTCTGAGACTTTTACCACTTTGGTGAAACCCACGAGCACGGCTATGGTGCTGACAAACCTAGAAACAATCGGGTGGAACCGGGATTCGAACCCACAATCATAGGTTTCTGGCGTGCCCAGGGGACTCAACTCTGCACAGCGAATCGCGGCGCCTTAGACTGCCCCCCAAATTTCTATCAAGCAATGGATTCGAATCCCGGTTCGCCCCGATTATGTTTCTAGGTTTTTCAGCACAATCCGTGCTCGTGGGTTTCATCGGATGGTAAACGTCTGAGACATGCATCACTTCGGGCTTTCCTCCCACATTAAGCTGACACGCCGCGATATAATTAGAATACTGTTAAAAGCGGCGTTAAACCCAACTCACTCACTCACTCTATCAAGCAAACACATAGTTTTCCGACAAATATTTTTTTCTGCCGTAATTTTTTATTCATAAATATAAAATGTCAACACCATAAAATATTCAGTCTCGATTATCCACCCAGACAGATTCCACTGGGCGTACACGAAAAAATCAATCAGAGATGATGATGATGATTATGATGATGATAAAGTTGGAATCGCACAGTGGACTCCACTTTTGTCAGAGAAAGGGTTTTTATTTGCATTTGCATTACCCAGCATGCATAGTCACGTGAACGGCGTAGGACGATGGAGTAGGACAACTTTATAAGACGAACGAAATGTTTTGAGGGAAAACTGTACTGCGAAGACATGAACTTGATACCTTTTATAAACAAACTTTGTATACAACACATTTCGTGTTATACCAAACGAGGAAAACACACTTTGATGTGAAATCAATATAAAGACTCTTTACAGATAAAGGTACACGTTTAGTTGCACAAATGGGATCATCGATTTGCCTTTTCATATAGCCTTTATGTAGCGTTGATGATTAGGTTATTCCTGTTATTTATGATGTAATTATGTGTTTCAGGGTATCGTTGATTTCCCACTATTTGGCGTCGCAATAAAGATCTCTTCCTGAATCATAAGCCGGATGTATTGTTGATAACGTGTTCACCCTACAGTGTCTTGTCCAAAACAACTTTCCAAACGCAGATGCACGTTTTATTGTCTTATCGTTAATTTTGGCGTTTGACTCTGTAAATAGGAAGATGCTATGGTTTTCAATAAGAAGACGGGCATATACACGGTCGACTGCTGTAGTTCTCAAGGACTCATCTTTACAGAGCGCTGTTAGAACATCTAATTGTTCAATATCAGAGTACTTTCATTCATCACGCGGTGTACGACAAAGATGTGTGCTTAGTCTGTTTTTGTTCACAATGTTTATGCTGGAGCTTCAGTCAGTGTTAGAAAATAGTGGGCTTCGAGGAATTTCTGAAAGTCACGAGTATTTGTAATTGTTGTAAGTGTTATATGGGATGATTTGTGTTTACGTGATGACACTGTGGTTGAGCTATAAAGAAACATTGATGTATTAGATATTTTTGGTAAAATATGGGGTCTTCAATTTAATATGGCTAGGACAGAAATTTTGGTTCTTAGCAGAGGTGGACCTCTACGACGTGATCAAAATGTTTTTTGGATGATTACTTTATCAAGGTCTAAGCATTTTGCAATTATTTAGGTATATTATTTTCTAAAAGACTTTCATTGACCAAATGCATTGAAACACTTGTTGTTAAAACAAATAAAGCACTTTTGATAACATGCCAGTAAATTGATGTTTAAATTGTTTGATACTAAAATAAAACTAATTGTACTTTTAGTACAACTGTATGGAGCCGAAATATGGGGATACTCTGTTCGTCAGTCGGTGGAATCATTCTATTCCAATTTTAGATGTTCGTAAAAATATTGCATCCAATACAGTACTATTGATTGAGTAGTAGATATGGACTATATGTTGAATGTCATCTAAAATGTATAAAATACTGATGCGCGGTTTTGGACTGGTAACCTCAACAATGTTATATGTTTGTGTTGAAAGTAGATGACAGTGCAGGGATCACATGGGCATCACATGGTAAACAACTGCTGAATCTTTATGGACTTGGAGTGAGTGAGTATGGTTTTACGCCGCTCTTTGCAATATTCCAGCAATATCATGGCGGGGACACCAGAAATGGGCTTCACACATTGTACCCATGTCGCGAATCGAACCCGGGTCTTCAGCGTGACGAGCCAACGCTTTAACCACGAGGCTACCCGACATCCCTTATTGACTTGGAGATGTATGGAACGCACAAAGTGTCGGTGATGTAAAGCGCTTTTTAAATATGCTTAAACAACGCTTGCAGGATTGTAATATGCAGATGGTTCATGTAAAAAATTGTGAATCACCAAGAATATGTTATCAATTCAAATTATTATCTGGGACTGAATTGTATGTAACGGGCATTAGAAATAGAAAATTTAAATGTTTTCTTTGTCCATTAGGGGGGTGTGAATTGCCCATTCGTAGTAACCTAGAGAGACGCTAAGGTATTGATTGTGATCATCGACTTGTGAAATGTGTAGTTCTAGCTGAATTGAAGATAAAATACATTTCTTATATGTCCTGCATATTTTGATTTGAAACGTATGTACATTCTGGATATATATCATAATAGTAAGAGTGTTATTTCGCTGGAAAGGCTTTTAAGCTGTAATAATAGTTTTGTATTAATTAATGTAGCCAAATATGTGAAAAAGCCTTGTGTGTACGATTGTCAAAACTGTGAAATCCGCAATGGTCATAAATGCGCTTCCTCCTGTAAATCACTTATCAATTAATCCTTTACATGTAAATTGGCCTATGGCCTCCAATACTGAAATAAATATACTTCTCACGCCCGTGGCGTGTGCCTGATGAATATACGTAGACAATCCCTACACTGCTACACAGCTATTTATCAGTTGTATGTCCAGCGTTCAATCTGATACACAGATTACAGTGGAAGAGGTCTGGTTACGAACCATAGCCTATCTAGTCATTGTAAACTACGGAATAGCATGAAAGACTTGAAGTAAATGATGACAAAGTGAGGAAAAACACCAGCTCTAGCTGTGCATTTCGATCTAACGCCGTGAATCAATTACCTCCCCCCACCAACGCATGTAGTTTGATACGTGTCTCACATCCCCAGTGTGCAGGATTCATGAATTAAACTCCTCATCTGATATCTATCCTCGTCCCACCCCCGACCGCGGACGCCGAGCCTTGCCGCTATGTGCTGTGCGTGCTGCGAATTATAACCCGAGAGACAAAAGTAGTACCTGGCTGTTTCCCGTCAACTGGAATTACAACGCGGGTCCTGGCGGGCAGGACAAGACAACCGGCGTGTGGCGTTATTCACATCCCACATAACTTGAGGAGTGTTCACAATGCCCTTGCTGTAAACCCTCCTCCTCTTTTACCTAACCGGTGATTACACTCAAGAAGTGAAAATTCCCGAGCAACTGTCCACGTTGGAGTTGCGCTTTGGAGATGCAGTTTCAAGCATTAACATGCCATTGAGAGAAGTACATACATTAGTTTTGTCGCGGGTGCAAATGTACCGGTTGTTAAAAAGCTAATACAGATTAATTTTGTGTCGTGTTCAAATCGAATAAGCAAATAATGAGTACTGAGACTCTTGGCACATTTACGGCCTTTGTAGGCGTTCAGACTTTCAATGTCGCCACAATTTGGCGCGAACGTCGAGAGGGTCATACGACGTGTACCCATGCCTTGTCTTGACGACCTTAAGCTTGGAAACGTGAGTCGTCTGTGAGGTAGCTTAGTGGGAGAAACAGCAGTTCAACGTAAGGAAGAAACTTGATTCCGTTAATTCAGAGACATACAACAGATCAACGTAGGAACAAACTTGATCCCTTTACTTCAAAGACACACCCACACCCAGAATGGATGTAAAAGACAAACTACTAACGGACCTTGCCAAAGAAAAAGGTTAAAATTCAGGTTGACTCGTTTGCACAACTCCGATTGTGATGTCAGTCATTTACAGAATATGAAATA